CTGGAATGAGAGAGTTTATATGTATTATAGCATAATTTACAGCAACTCAATAAATGCCTTGTTTCACTTACAGTGCTGGGTTAAGGCAAAAGTAGCTCAAAGAGCAATTAAACATACACAAACACACACGTGTGTGCGCGCACACGCACGCACACAAACATATAAAATACTTAATTACACACATTTGAGTAGATGCAATAAATTATTTTAATTCCTGTTTAAATGCAATTCATCCTGCCATACAGGCAGTGTCTTCAGACTTGGCCAGAAAATTAAAAGTTGAAGCTTAATCATTAAATTATTATCTTTATGTTAAATGTATTTATAAAACATATTTAAATACTGCTTGTGCCAATTAAATTAAATAAAAAGTAACACACGATCTCTATCACTGTCATTAATCAGCTAACAAATAAGAAGCAGCTTCAGCTACCAGAGAGATTGAGATTACATTTTCTCACTCGAAAACAGAACAAATGTCAGATATTGTAGAAACTCACCTGCCAACACATGACGAGTTGGGAGTGAGACATGTATCTGCTGTTCAGCTCCTTCATCCTCCTCGTGACTCCGACATGTTTAAGTTCATCAGCGTGGTTCTCCCGTGTCATGTCATCACTTTTTCAAAGCTGCATGTTATGCAGTTTTTATCTTTGTGAAGCTTCAAGTGCTCCCACACCTTGCAGGACTTGGGTCGAACCGTTTTCGCTGTGTCTGTCATTTGTAAAATTTACCTAATTTTGTTTGAAAACACCACCTCTTGTCTGCTTCCGCCTCTCCCTCGCTCTATTCAACTCGCGCTGCAGAGTTAGTATTTTTTTCAAACTTTATTCAGTCAGTCAACATTGCCAATGAACTGCAGGTGAACGAAACGGCTCCGCAGCGCAGTGAAAGACGCTTAATCACGCGACACAACAAATCGATTATGAAATTCTTTGCCAACACTCTAAATAATCGATTTTTATCGATTCGTTGTTGCAGCCCTAAACTGCAGGTAATAATGTCCTGAGAGTGCATGCTGTAGCTGCACTCATGCAGTGACATGTTGGAGGAGATGTATGAAGGCAGCAGACCAAGAAGTGATTTAGAGATGAAAATGTACCAGTGAGAGAGTCTGTGCCAAGTTAATGATGACAAGTGAATACAGGGTAAAATGGTGGGTATGATAATTACAGCCACTTATGAATCTTAGTGCACTGTGATAAACAGCATTCAGCATCTGCAGAGTGCTTGTAGGAGCATTCGTATAAATAAAGTCACCATAGTCAATGGAGGGAAGGAAAGTCGCAGTTACAAGGTGTTTCCTAGTGTTCAGCGTTAGACAGGATTTATTTCTGAAAAAGAAACCCAATTTAACTTTCAGTTACTTTACAAAGTTTTCAACATGAGGCTTAAAAGAGAGGTGAATTAACCAAGATACCCAGGTATTTATAAGAATCAACAAACTCAATACGGACACCATTTTAAGATAAAATAGAAGGAAGGACTGCTGGTACCGACTTCCTGTTTGAAAGCAACATCCCTTTGGCTTTATCAGCATTTAGAACAAGTTTGAGACAGAACAAATCTGACTGGACGATGTCGAATGCAGACTGTAAAAACTGGAAAACCTTAGTAACTGTTCTAACTCAACAATGAACAACTGTGTCATCAGCATAGAAATGTAAAAATGTATCAGGGATGAAATGACCAACATAACTTATGTAGATTGTAAAGAGGGTGGGTCCTAAGACTGAGCCTTGTGGTACACCATTGTTAACTGTTAAATAACTGGAGGAAGTACCATTATGATGAACACATTGCCTCTGACCTGAGAGATAGTTAGTGAACTAACCAATGGTGTGAGCTGAGAAACCAATTTCTTAGAGCTTATGACACAAGATGTTATGATTCAGTGTCAAAAGCTTTAGACAGGTCTAAGAAAAGTGCAGCACAAAAATCCTTAGCATCCAGTGCTTCAACAATGTCATTAAAAACCTTCAACGAAGCAGTCATTGTGCTGTGTCATTTCCTGAAACCAGATTGATGGAGAGGTAAGTTGTTAAAAGAATCCAAATACAGTACTTCTTGACTTTAGAATTTATCAGTTATTCTTAAACCTTAGCAATAATTATTAGGTATTAGTGTTCAGCATATATCTTAGATATTTTAAGAGTACCATGTAGCGTTCATTTAGCGTATATCTTAGATCCTTGTATACAGTTTCTTTTTACACTTTATATTTTTGTTATTTTTGGGTGTAACTGGGACGTTGAGTACACAATTTTGTTCCACATCATGTACTACACTTGATGCAAATGACAATAAAGAACCTTGAACCTTGAATACAGAGTTGAGATTGGTTGATAGTTGTTCAGTATAGTGGGGTCTCATTCCTTCAGTAAAGGTAGAACAAAAGCTGTTTTCCAAGAGTTTGGAATGGTGTTTTGGCTTATGGACAGATTAAAGATGTAAGACACAAGTTCTGTGATGATGTGTGTGGGGCCAGCCTTAGGAAATAACAAGGAAGGTCATCAGGCCCTGTAGATTTTCTAGGGTCCAGACCTTTTAACAATTTGTTAACCTCACTAAAAAAAAACGGTGAAAATGAAAAAGTGTGGTTTACTGAAGATTGACTTGTAGGAGGGATTTATTTGTAGATGATTAGCTTAAAGGAGAAGTAACTGGTTTTCCATTAGTAACTGTGGCAAATAAAGAACTAGAATCAACAAAATGTTTGTTGAAAAAGTTCAGGATCTTGTGTTTATTAGACACAGGAACAGAGTTAACAAGAAGTTGTGATGGGAGGTCAGATGTATGAGAGCTGCCAAAGAGAGATTTCATGATTTTCCAGAATCTTTTAGGGTCATTTAGATATTTGGAGGTCTGAGATAGGAAATATTTGCATTTTGTGGCTTTTATGGAAGTTGTACATTCATTCCGCAGCTGTCTAAAACGCAACCAGTCAGTTTCTGAGCCAGAATAACTTGCTGGTGCCCAAGACTGATCTCCCCTGTGTGTAGAAGGTCAGCTAGCTCAGGAGTAAACCAGGGGCTGTCTCGTCCTTTTATTCTGAACTGGTGAAAAGGTAGGGCTGAGTACCGAACCGAGGTTCTTAAATGGCACCTACCGAACTGCACCGGTCGGTGCATGGATTGAAATGTCACTCTTTTTTCGGTGTCAAGTTTCGGTATTGGCTGTAACGTGTCACGTGGTTTCAGCACGCAGGCAGGTAAAACACCAGACGTATGACAAACAGACTACGTGTTTACACCCAGAGCTGTATAGAGCTGCTGTACCTAATCTATGTATAATGTATGTCTATGGTGCTGGTGACGCCCACAGACGGGGTTCACGTGTGCAACAGCTTCGACAACACACGAGCAGAAAGTTGCTCCATGTTTTTATGCAAGAAGACAGACGGACAGCAGCCTCCCCCCTCCTCTCAGCGTTAGTCAGTCTGTGTGTGTTAAACGGACTCAATCAACATCTCCACGGCCAGACTCATCTTCATCAAAGAACTCCCGAGGAGGGAGCTGTGTCTCTGTTTCAGCTGGTGAGTTTACGTTTTGTATTGAATGTTTTTTTAATACGTTTGTTAACGTTACTGCAGCTTAACACGTACATTGCTGTGAATTAAACTAGAATCCATGTAACGCTAACTTTAAGATATTAGTGTGTAAATCTATTTTATCTACATAGCTAGTTAAACTCAGAAGCTAACTAAAGATTGACAGTAACAAATGAAGCTTAGCTTGTAAAAATGTGCTCATCCATCCAGTCAGCTGCTTAAACAGTTCAACTAATGCTCACTGTTTATGTTAATGTTCGAATCACAGGAGCCTCTGACCCAGATGTGAGGACAGAGACAGACAAAAGAAAAGCAAGGTGGGGGCCACTGGACAATCACAAACTTTGTTGTTAAAAGTTTGCTGCTTTTAAATAGAGTGGAGGCACAATGATGGAGGTAAGTTAAGCTATAAAGGATGTTGTTGATAGTTAAACTTTTATCTCTCAGTCTAGATAATGTTTTTTGAGCAATAATAATACAACCATGTTATTGTTGATGTTTTATGTTCTAATGCCAATTAGGCAGATGATAAGAGCCCTAAACCCCAGAGAACCACAGAGAAGATTCAGGAAGAGACACAGAGGTGCAGATGTCTGCCATCAACCTTAACCTCAGTGAATCCAGTGACCTGCTGGTGGAATGTGAGGGACAATATGTCAGTGCTATCAAACTTGACAACCAGGTATCTGTGTTTGCAACAATCATCATCTACAGCCTCAGAGTGAACACTTCCTACTGCTGGAGACACCATCAGCCAGGAGTGGGCTTGTTTGTGTCCAGAGAAAGCAGACATGTTGATGTTTCTGAAGAAAAACTGTTAAGTGAAAATGTCCTCAGTGTGTAGCAGTGAGCATTAGACACTGACGTGTCACTTATTTTCAACTGTTCTTTTGAACTGGAAATTATTTGTTTATTTTTAATGTAAGACAACTGCTTGGAATTAAAAAAAACAAAGTTAAAAAATAAAACTCACAATTTGTACTGTAATGTGTAACATAATTTTATTCTTGTTAGAATTAATAGTAATTACAAAACTGGTACAGAAAAAAACCCGTGCAGGAACCGACACCGAAGTGAAGGTACCGACACCGGTACCAATACCGATTTTTTTAGAAAGGTACCCAGCCCTACGAAAAGGGGCATGTTTATTTACAAAGTGGATAAAACTGTTCTGAACATATTCAAAAAGCGTTCAATACAAAAACAAGTTCTTGTTTTTGTTTTGAAAGTAGTTCCAAGCGGTGTTCACATCATCAGTTAGGAGAATATGTTGCCAGTCAAAATGAAACAGGTCCCCAAGAAAGGCCTGTTCACTGAAATGCTTCAAGTCCCTAAAGACCATGACTGACATCCATTAGAATCATTTAAATTGGCCACCTACTAAAAGTTTTCTTCTCTCTGGGTACATGTCATTAAACACAACGTTACTGTAAAGGGTTCAGGACCGTACCTGAACTGTACCAAAATCCACGTTCTCATAGTGGAAGTGGGCGCACTCAGCCAGTTTTGGGAAGTGACCCTTCGTGAAGGAAAGTCTGCAACACAAAAACACAATTTGTTTAGCACTCTGTCTGCCCATGCTAACACATCGTTATGTTTAGGAGTACAGGAAACAAGGGACAGAAAGGTAGAGGAGAGCACAGCAGGAGACTCAGTGAACAAAATACATCTGGACAGGAAACAGAGGCCAGAATGTGATGGTTAACAAGATGCTAACACAATCAGAGATATGTGTGTGTATATTTACTTCTTGACATTCTTGACCTTCATACTGGCTGTACTGCTGCTGCTCAAGCGCATGAGGGTTTCCGTCCTCAGCTCAGGGATTTCTGCACTTCTTGCCTTTAAAAAACAAAAACACAAACATTCCTGACGAACAGCTTGACCTTCTTTATTAAACGAGGAAGAAAGTCAACAGCATTAAAAATGTATTTTTCAACAGCATTAAAAATCTCTTTTTCAACAGTAAACCAATCTCTGGCACAAGTCTGAAATGTTTCCAAGTGCCGTTAAATACATTATTTATGACAACTGTAACACGTGTGAATCACACACGATCTCAGTTAGTGAGAGTGAGGAGCACCGGGAGGCTCTGGTCAGCTGCAGGAGCAACGTTCAGACATAAATAAACTAGGAATGCAATATATTATCGGCATAGTATCATATTGGCCAATATTGGCGATAAAGTTAAGTATCGGACTTTGGCCATTCCATCAAAAATAACTCAGCGATATAAAAGGCGCTGTTTATGTATAAACAGCGCCTTTTATAATGGCTGATGTCCAATTCCATCACCAGCTGAATATATATACTATATAAGGCACTGTTTTTGTATGACAACCCAGTGACAAGGATGCCTGCAGAGCCAGTACAATGTTATGATGTCATGCACGCCTACCTGATCTGATCTCCCTGGCGGGAGAGGAAAAAGTGAAAATGTCGGCAGTGTGGAACTTTTTAAAGTGTCGGAAACTGATATCAGAACTGTTATTTGCAATGACTGCTCAGCGTCAGTGACGCGAGGAATGAAAACAAAATCCTAAAACATTTCAAACCTAAAGAATCATCTCAAGAACCACCATTCCTGTCAAGTATAGCTATTAAAGCACTATTACTTATACACTTTTCACTTGTTACTTGTGAACAGCTTGAGTTTAGATTTATGAAAATGTACAAATTTGCACTGTTCCGAGTGTTGTCATTGTGTTAGAGAAAATGTCATGAATAAATTTGACATTAAATATAATCCAAGTTGAAGTGTTACATCATTTTCAGACCCCTTTTTGGCATCTGCATTTGGTAGCAGGCCAAATTGACAAAGACCATACAGAATAATGTAGTATTTTAATTCCACAGCAGAGAAGCCTATGGAGAAAGTAAGTAGGTCTAGGGGGGGGAAAATATCTATATTGGTATCGGACAAATAAGTTTTAACATATCAGCATATTGGATATTGGGCAAAAATCCAATATCCTGTATCCCTAAAATAAACATTCATCTAATGCCCCTTTTGCACTGCCCCTAATCAGCCCCAACTCTGCTCAGCCTGGCTCAGCTCAGCCTGGATTTGCACCTGCACTTTAGGACCGATTCTGGAGGCGTGTCCAGAATCCAAGTCCTACTAATGAGAGTTCTGCGATGAGTTACTCAAAACAGTCTGCTCCTCAGATAAGTAATATTAAATTATTATTTTTATATATGAATATTTCTGTTCAGTGCCATGAGACGACTTCAGTTGTGACTTGTCGCTGTATAAATAAACTGAACTGAATTAAATCTTATGAACCACATTCTACAAAAACATTTATATTTAAATCTAAAAAAGTTAAGTCTGGTCCTCTGGACGTAAAAAAAAAAAAAAAAAATATGTAGAAACATTTCTCCTGATGCATGCTCAATAATCCAGGTAGAAAAATCTAAAAAAGTTAAATCTGGTCCTCTGGACATTCAAAAAAACAAACAAAAACAAAGCAAATCAACAAAAAAATGTAGAAACGTTTCGTCTCTCATGCGAGAGACTTCCTCAGTCAGAGGAGCTGTATTCAGCTCAGTCTCTTAAATAGCTCCGTCTCAGAGTGGATCAACCAGTTTTGCTGCTGACAACCAAAACCAGCTGATCACATGCTCAAGAAGGACCATCAGCCTAACAATGGATCATTGGCACACTGATGGCTGTTTACTATTCACAGAGGGCTGAGTGATACTAGCAATCACAGCATTGTAAGAGGGGGACAGTTGAACCCGGAGGCCTCCACCCCTGTTTAACGATGGGCGATTTCTTTTCACAATGATGGCCTCCTTTACTCCTCTCTCAAACCATCGTTCCTCTCTGTCCAGGATGTGAAAATCTTCATCCCTGAAAGAGTGACCGCTGGCCTGGAGATGAGTGTAGACCGCAGATTCCTGGCCTCATGATGTTGATCTTCTGTGCTGGGCCATCCTTTTGGCCAGTGGCTGTTTTGTTTCCCCGATGTAAGACTGATCACAGCCCTCCTGACACTGAACAGCATACACAACATTGCTCTGTTTGTGCCAGGGGACTGGATGTTTGGGATGAACCAGTCTTTGCCGTAATGTATTTTGGGGTTTAAAAGCCACTGGGATGTTATGTTTAGAAAATAAACGTCTCAGTTTCTCTGATACTCCCTCAACATATGGAATGACCACTGGTCTGGGTCTGGGTTCCTCCTTTTCACCTGAAGGCTGACTGGAGTCCTGTTTGGGTTTCTTCTCTGCTTTCAGGAAGGCCCAGTTAGGATATCCACATTGCTCTAGAGCCTGTCTTGTGTAGGATTTCTCCTTCTGCCTGGCTCCTGAGCGAGTGGGGACGCTGTCTGCTCTGTGATACAGAGTCCTGATGACTCCTAACTTGTGCTCCAAAGGGTGATGGGAGTCAAACTGCAAATACTGGTCTGTGTGGGTGGATTTGCGGTACACCTCAGTTTGCAAATGTCCTCTATCAGAGACTGAGACCTCACAGTCCAAGAAAGCCAACCTGCCATTTTTTACATCTTCTCGTGTGAACTTGATGTATTTATCCACAGAGTTGATGTGGTCAGTAAAATGTTGGACTTCCTGAGATTTAATTTTAACCCAGGTGTCGTCAACATACCTGAACCAATGACTTGGTGGTGTCCCTGAAAAGGACGTCAACGCTCTCTTTTCTACCTCCTCCATGTACAGGTTGGCAACAATAGGAGAAACTGGAGACCCCATAGCACATCCATGTTTCTGCCTATAATATTGCTCCCCATATGTGAAGTAGGTTGACTGCAGGCAAAGTTTCAAGAGTTGACACAGTTGTTCTGTGGAAAGTGTGGTCCTGCTGCTCAGAGTAGTGTCTGATTTTAATTTTAAACTGACCACCTCTACTGCATCATCAACAGGAATGCATGTAAAGAGTGATGTGACATCAAAAGAGACCATTGTTTCATCAGTCTCCATGATGACATCCCTCACCTTGTCCACAAAGTCCATGGTGTTCTGTATGTGATGTTCTGAGCTGCCAACTTAAGGGATGAGTACAGACGCCAGATATTTTCCAAATATCTGGCGTCCCTTTAGTTGGCAGCTCAGAACACTACATAACACTTCATGTTGGCACATGAAAGTCCGAGTTTTGACCTTAGACAGACATATTTTCATGCTTTTGGTGTTCAGAAAGCGGCACGTGACCCCGGAAATGAAGCTCGTTTTAACAGAGTCCTCCTTTGTGTTTAAAAAAGCTGAATAAAGCCCTGACACTTGGTCCTAAACTCATGAGTACATGCAGAAAAGGAGTGCTTGTTAAGCGACGCAACGTTTAAGCTTTAAATCCATCCATAAATGCTGATTTGAACCACGTTCGACCGTTTGCTACATGTACCTAACGGCTAACAACCGGATGTCAACAGGACGGTTCACAGGAAGTCGTTAGCGACTCCTACCGGTAAAAGTAAGCTTACACCGCCACCTGCTGTTAAAAAGGAGTATAACAGTTTTCCAGAAAGAAAGCTGTGCACTCGCCTTTCATTTATTTATTTTTTTCTTCTGTTAATCAGAGCCTGGTTTATGGGTACTGTTAAATAGCAAATTCTGGTAAATTAAACTGCTTGAGAGCGTTTAAAACTACAAGTTGCTGTCAGACTTTTTAGAAAAATTGCAGGTTTATTAATTTTAAGTGCATTGGAGTACACTGAAATAGCCTGGTTCTTGTACCTGTTAAAAATAAGCATATTAAGTAACTGCCAGCAGGAGGCATTTACTTACAATATTTATGGGGTAAGGTCTGAACAGGGGCCCATTTATTGAAAAGTTGGCTTATAACAGTACTGTTGATGGAACCACAGAGCTAAACAGTGTGTGAATCTCGCTACTCACTTAAATAGAATAGTTTACCTGTTAAAAGCTCTAAGATTGCAACTGTTTAACCAGATAGGTTGCTGAACAGTGGATAACCATGGCAGATTTAACAGAAGCTGATGTTGATCCATGTGATAAAAAGGACTGGTTAGAGAGAGCGTTAACACTGCTAACAGAATCCTTACATCCATATGGTGAACAGGTGGACAGCATGAACTCAACAGTTATTGGACAAGCTGAAGGAAGTTGCAGAAAGTGTGACTTCCACAGCCATAAAAAAGTCAAGCTATGAACAAATAGCTAAAATAGCACTCTTGCTGAAGGCTAAATTTTATATTGAGGCCAACAGGGCAGAAAACCTTGGAATAAGGTTGAACAGCGAGACAGAGGAGTATCTAAAACTCATGACACAGTTTCAATTTAATAAAGAGACCTGGGAGGAGAAATTGAAACGTGAAGAAGAGCTCTCACAAGCTCAGCTGTTATCACAAGCAGACTCATATTAGGAGAAGCTACATGAAGGAGGGATTATGTACGAAGCACTGTGTTCAGACAATGATGCTCTGCAACAACGGTTGCAGCTCACATCAAAATCTCTGGACGAGTGCAAATTGGAAAAAGCGGCGTTAGTCCAACAAGGCATGCGTTTACAAAGTGAGTGTTATACATCACGTGAACGCTTAAAAGCCTGTGAGGCAAAACTTGCCACAACAACAAATAAATCTTCTGACAAGGGGCAAGGGTGTCTGGAACTCAAAGACGAACTGGGTCAGAGTCCAGGTCACCCACCACCACCTCAGAAGGATTTTGCTGTACCTCCTACACATAATCCCCTTCTGCCACCTCCACGTGAGTCTGGTGAATCACTTCCATGTGATTATTTTGTTCCAACAACACCAATCACTCAGCCTCCGCTCTCGATAGCGGATTTGCATAAAATCGCGAAGTATGTCCAACGCTTTGAGGGGCCGTTGGTTTCAACCGAAACTAAGGCCTATCTG